CCCCCCCCCCCCCCCCCCCCAACGTCTCAGATTTATTCATTTTATTTAAAACAAACGAACGAACACAAAGTTCAAATAGACTCGTAATACTGTGCATTATTTCTCCTTTAATTAAAAAAAAAATTTAATTAATTAAGAGATTATGAATAGCTCGCACTGTAACAGCTAATCCCGTGTGTAACTTTAAATAAAAGCGTCTGCTATTTTAGTAAACACAATGCTACATTTAAGTTAATTCTTTACTCAACAAAAAATAGATTACAGATGTTTTAAATTCCATGCACTAACAAGTTATTTATGCGTTCAAACTGTGATCAGTCTCAACTAAGGACGCCCATTTTCGCGGTGGTGCAGTGGCATTTTAATATGGAAAGCCATATGGGTCATAATTCGCGTGCTTTTCACCGCCGTATCAATATTAAAACGCCGTTTTCATAACGCCGCCAGGCGTTAAATAAGCGCCGTTAGGCGATAAGTTAACGGTAGACGCCACCACGCGTTAAAACAACGCCACACGCCGACCGACAAAGATTGCATGCGGTCGGAGATTCCCGTGTTTACAGCTCCGTAAAATAACCTTGGAAGCTCTGTAGTTTTGCTGTATAGGCCTATAGATAAAAATATTAAAATTACAAACACACAATAACATTTTAAGTTACTTCCATTTCTGAAAAAGAGAATGTAGGGCTAGTAATTGATGTTATAAATACACACGCCTGACTTTTGTTTTAATTATCCATCGTACATCAAAATAAATCAATAAATAAATAAAATAAACATTTGCAATTGAGACTGAAGACTGAAAGACTGAAAAAAGCCAGAAGTGAATGTAAACCAGATTTGGCCCAGACTCTGTTGCTATCTGGGAAGCCAGAAACCTGCCTCTGTGCATTAACCCTGCACAGTTCAAACTCCCTCCCTTGAAGCTGTGGAAACGTGCTTTGGAGAATTTCTGCAAACTGAGTCTCACTCTGCTCTCTCTGTACAACAAGTCTCTGACTGGCAATGGCATCTATTGGGCAACAGTGTGCAATGCTGTCAATTTAATTTGTTTACAATTAGCATGACAATTTCATGAATAGCATTATAAGCAGAGGACTTACCTCTCAAAGAAGTTAACCGATCGACACCAGTCCGGAGAAGAGTTACTTTAAATGTACATGTCATATTTCTCCTCCGCACCCTTCTTGGACGAGCAGGACCATGCAACGACTGTTCGTTACGGAACATCTCAAACCTTTCAGAGAACATTTACACATTAGGCTACTAGGAAATTTAAACAAGTTTGCTATTAACTAATTCATAATCTGAGATAAAGAAAGTTTCATACTAATTAAACTCTCTGCCCATTTCATGTTTTGAGCCCAAACCAACTCAGATATACATAAACTAGTGCCTTTTGCATAGCACAACACTTAATTGTAAGAAAATATATAATTAGCCCCATACATCAATTAAACAGAAGGAGGAAGGAGGAATTCCAGGCAGGTGAATGGATCCATGAGGGGAACTACGGAAACAAAAAACACTGTACAAAAATGAAAAACAAAATCGGAGGGTAGACATGGAGGTAACGGTTTTGGTCAGGTCTTCTGTCACGTTACGCTGCTGCGGTAAGAACGTAGGAGACACAGAGTAGCATTCACAGTCTTTAATGATGAAAACACGGGATAATCCACAATAGGAGCTGGGCAAACACACGTAGAAACAAGTAGACCTGACAAACACAAACTGAACAGACTAGGACTTTTAAACAGGGCAATCAGGAGAACACAGGTGACATCAATTGAACATAATCAAACTAAACGAGGACAGGAACATGACCAAATAAGGAAACACAGGAAGGACTACGAGGGCAAAACAGGTCCAAAAGTCTGACATTTTCGCCCCCTCCCGGAAAGTACGTCCTCACACCGTAACAACAACAGAGGGAGGCATAGGTGGGAACTTGGGAGGAGGCTCAGGAGGAGGACGGACACCAGGGAGGGGGCCGGCAGACAGAGACCAGGGAGGCGACAAAGGGGCCCGGAGCAGGAGGAGCCAAGCAGGACCCAAGCCACAGCCATGATGGCGACCCACGGTGGAGCCGACGGAGGGAGGAGCCATGGAGGAGGAATGACCGCCGACTCCAGGGGGCCGACCAACGGGGGCGGAGCAGGTGGCGGAGACGGAGAGCCAACGAGCCAGGGGGATGCCGGGGATGCCGGGGATCCGGGGGGCCAGGGTGGAGGCGGAGATCCGCAGCGGAGCGACTGAGGACCAAGGTGGACCTGGCGGGAGGAAGGAGCCCAATAGAGCCGGTGGGACGGAGCAATGAGGAGCAGCCGGAGGAGATGAGTCCTGAGGCGATGGCGGGTCGACGCC